GGCATGAGATTTATAACTCCAAAACTTTGAATCCATGGAGATGGGACGCATGCCCCCTCGTTGCCAGCGGAACGATCTTTAGTTGCTCTTAAAAGCAATCCGGCGGCTTATAAGGCAGGTCTACTGGCTCAGGTATAATAACCATAACCCAACCTAGCCGGAATGCTGGGGAGGCCCAATGACCCCAAAGGTGAAACGATTCTCATTGAATCCATTTGTTGAAATAGCAAGCTGTACGATTGACTACTAGATAGCTGAACGAAAAAGAGTCGGACTGAGATGCTGATGAGAATGTGTTAGTAACTAGAACAAAACGAGTACACCAAAAATAAAAGTTTGACGCAACGTGAGGAGATACACGAGAGGCGTCAAAGAAATAATTTACAGCCACAACTGAACCCGCAAGTCAATGCAAGATCACCGAGCACCTGAAAAGACAGGTTTTAGAGGTAAAATGGAGAAGAAAGGTGTTAGAAAACAAAGCCCAAAGCGATTCCATCCGCCATCATAGCACGTCCAAAGCACCCAATGGAAGCCCAAAAGGTCTAATGCAGAAGGCTCGCTCTGTCATGCAACACTAATCAGTGTTAGCGATACTTGACAAGTCAAGCCTTCTCAGTCTACTCCTGAAAATATGACTACTCTCTGCACTAGTGGTCTCAACCGGGAGGTGCCAAAGCCACCTAGCCGACCTGTAGAACACGTTGTTGAACATCAGCAAGTATCTCTTGCGCCGGATTCTTGGATATTGCAAGTTGAAAGAGCCTGACCTTTCGCTTGTAGGAACAAAAATCCAGTATTTACTGGCTTTTAGCTTGTTCTCTCTTCTCAGAACTTGAAAACAGAATACAAGATCCAAGAAAGCACGACGGTTTGTTAAGGATTTCATATGAAACCTCTCAAGCCGGGTCTGGTAATCAGGAATCATTCGAATTTATTCGATGCGTGGTCGCTGGTACCTAGTGGTGCTTCTACTTGACCTCACTAATCAATTCGTGATCTTTTGTAAAAATCAGGTCGAGTAAGTTGTCACCCAGCGTCCGAGCCCCAACTTTCCGGGCCAGGTCATACAACCTGCACATTCTGAGAAAATCCCTAGAAACAGCATTAGGCGCTGTGCCTATATGGGGATCACTCCAGTCAACTCCCGGGAGGTTGAAATCTTCCATCAGAACTATTGAACATGGACATGCCAGTAAGTCTGTGATAGCGCTGATCGACTGCCTTGTTTTACTGGAGGGACAGCTCGGGGCTCTATACACCAAGATCAGCCTTATCGATTTATGGGCAAAAATATCAGTAGACAATATCTCATAACTTTCATGCACTGACTCGTGAAACACCAAGGACGGGCTGAGCCTCTTGTGAACGACAAACCAAACCTCCTCCTTTTTGTCAGAGCGATCGCATCTGTACACAAAGTAATTATCTAATAGGCACCCAAACAACGAGCTATCACTTATGTTCTCGTTTAACCAAGACTCAGTGATACCTATGACCAAAATATTACTATTAAGGATTTGGAATTTCAAGCTATCAATATTCTTACACAATGACCTAACATTAGCCAAAAGACAGTTCAAAAAGCTACTCGCAATCCGCGGAGGCCTTATTGGTTTAAAGAATTTGGCTGTTGTACCTCAGAATCGACTTCGTTTTGATATTATCGCTAGCAACGCGGTCAACATGATCAATTATTGATAAATTCCTAGAGTCAACAGACATATGTGATCTACCATCAGATGCTTGAGCGCTACGGCGAGCCGTCCGCAGTTCCCGAATATCCCTCTCTTCTTTGGGAAGAGAGGGACGTATGTATACCCCCCTCTGATACGGGAAACTTCTCATTTTGGGCGCCCGCCGCAGCGCCAGCCTTACAAAATATGAAGCGGGTAAAATAACTTTCAAGAGTCGACTGAATGTGTTGCTTGGCCTCCCCATTCGATAAACTGCGATAGGCCGGCAGTCTATAAGGTAGTCCAAAACAGATTCAAGACAGGAGAAATCATGGTTAACCTTATCGATCCTCGATCTTCGCAGTTCAGGGACTCCAGCAATTACTAAAGCTCGCTCTCTCTCAAGACCTTCTTTATCAGCTCGATGCATGGGGAAGGGTACAGGGTTACGTATGCTAGAGTTATCAACAAGTAACCTAAGTCTTTCATTTTCAGACTTAAGGGAAATCAATTGCTCCGACAAATTGTTATTCCTCGATAACAACTCACGATTCCGTTCGTTGACCGCCTCGAAGTGCTTGTGGGATTCGATTAGATAAGCTAGCACAGTTCTAGCATACAGTGGAATATCCACATCCTTCAAGAGATCATCAGCTGCACGGGAGTAGTCGGGTGGGGTGATGTCGTACTGCAGGCGCCTCTTTTTCTGCCTTTCGTGAGACTGTAGCGGATATACAGGCGTATCGGTCGTTTCGGGCATTAGGCAGAGGCAGAACTAGAATAGGGGACTCGAAATCCGAATGCAGGATGGGGAACGAGGATGAAGGCCGAGGTGTTTGACGGAGGAATCCGGGGACGAGTGGCCCAGTAGATCTTCGGCAGAACGTCGATAAAAGGCGACCGCTCACTGCCGTGTCAGGCGATCGAATGAGTTGAGAATCGAAAAGTTGAAGATTCGTAGGATTTTTTGAAAGAAAATACGATTTTTTCCTATTTTTTGAGCATTCAGTACAACTCCGATTCTGGATGTAAACTTACGGTGAGTTGGTGGTGCGTATTCTTGCATATATAGCAACAGATGAAGAGTGGCCGCTGCGGAAACCTGGTAACATATTTTGTCAAAGAAATAATCATACGAGGATGTTTCTAGAGGAGAACCATTCAATTCTAAATCAGAATTATGTAGTTGAATTTCAACTGCTGGTTTCAAAAACTCTGACCCTCAACTTCCCAAATAACTTCAAAAATTGGCTAGAAATCCGTCTTTTCAAAATTTGACACGAAAAATTATTTTGGGACGAGTATACGACTTTATTTGAAACTACCGCTTAAACCATCCCTAGCTTAGAATACTGAAAAGATGATCGAATACTTGGATTTGTATGAAATTTTCAAATTAATCGGAGATTCGAGAGCGTTTTAGAGTGCTTCAATGAGATTCAGCCGCCGGTAAGATCAGATATCTGATCACGCTTTCAGATATTATCCAATTTGCAATATATTTTGAATAATTTAATTCTGAAACGGAAGCTTTGTGAATTTTATATATTTATCTTACATCATGTGAACTGCCAAACCATTCGCAAACCATTCTTCACTTAACTTAAAATTTCAGCACAGCATAATGAACATTGAGTGAGCACAAAGGTGACCGGAAAAGGTATAATTTCTTTGAGTTTTAGGAAGCATGATTAACACTAAAGCTCAGGATCTAGATAATTCAGTTACAGGCATGTTCTGCTTCTGAAGTTCGAATAAAAAAAGACATTCCAAAGCAACTGATTTTCGTTTCTGCTACCCATAAATACAAGGATAGACTTCGCTGTAGATACACTATTCAGAAAGAGTGCGATTAGAAGGCGGAGCAGTGGTAAGAGCCGACCTTCGGCCCTGTGAAATGTGGACGACCCCTAGGGGGCGCTAAGAACCCCTGCTAGGAAAGGAGGCGAGGAATTGAGTCATCTATTGTCCTCATTTTCTCAATCCTTGGAAGATGAGTAAGTGCTGAATCAATTCTTTCATGGATTGTTCAAGTTCGAAGTATAATGTGGATGCTTGGACTCAATGAGCAAAAAATGAGTAGAGCATCCACTGATGTAAACCTACTCAGGCATGCACAGAGAAATGTTCTAAGTGTTTTCTTTTTGTTATTGTAATCTAACTGTTTCCTTTGTCTATGATCATAAACAATTGCTTTCGTTTTTGCTTTTTGCTTTTTGCTTTCTTTATTCGATTGAAATCAATTGATTAGGATCAATTCAGGTCTTTACCACAAGCCACCACCCCCTCATGGGTGATAAATCGGGGAAGCCCTGGCCATACGTGCAGCCACCTCATCGTCGCGATTCCATCGCCGGGAAATTTCATGATTGTAGCGACGTGATCGCGACTATCAAAATGCTATTCGCGGGTTCTGGACCTATCTGTTTAGCGATAAGGTGAAGATACACACCTCAGCACGCGTTCTAAGTTTTCTTTTGGCATCCGAAAGCAGTATTTAGCGTAATTTATTTACATTTGCAGGTTTCTTTGTCTTTTTTTGACACCGATGCGTTCAACCTCAACAATTTATACTAGTTTCTCGCGCTTTTGCATCTATCGTTCAACTTTTTTCATTAGATACAGGATGCAAAGCCAATTTTCTCAAGTTATAGCTGCGGTTTTATACGTTGCCAATTTTTCGCGATATTCAGATATCAGAAACTACGCATGTCGTCCAGATACAAGTTTCACATAATTAAAACTATCCATTTCGATTACTGGCACGAATTACAAGGGACGCGCATCACAACAGGAAGAAGGGTATGGCCTAGGAAAACACGGTCTGCTATCCGTCACGCCGGACAGCTAACACGAGCGACATGCATGATTTGCCGGCATGCATAGAGCGTATAACACTTGTCCGATTGCACAAATCGCATCGCGGTGATTTTTTTGTCGGTATGGCTTAGGGCTTTAGACGTGAAGAAGAACCCAAACGTGATACTGATTAATCAGTTTTATGATTGGTGCCGGGCATGCACAGTAAGGTGCAGAGTGTGGTGATGGCGAACAGGGCCAGACGAACAGGGCCTAAAGCCCTCCACTTCATAGTCTAAAACAGAAGTTTTAACCAAGAAAACCGTAAAAAATTGAGTGGGAAATTGCGTGCAAAGAAAGCAAGGGCGATATCAAATTCGCAAATGGAAATGATCCAAAAATGAGTCCAGTGTGACTTTTCAAGTTTTGCGTCTGGCCAGACTTTCATCTATAATCGAAGTCGGTAATTCCACCCCTCTCCACCTCTAATTGAACTTGGTATTTTGAATATTAACTACAAAAAAGCTTGTATTGTTTACTGATAAAAACCAGCCAAAAATCGTGTATAGAACAAGAAAGGACTATCAACATCGACTTTAGAGCAGCTCAATCGCAGGCATTGCTTCTGCTCCTGCCTCTGCATATCTCATAAATTTAGCATGCTCATCTCTTAGTCCTTCTGGTCTTGGGTGGTTGGTACATGTCATTACCTAGAATATGCTCGATTAAGTTTTTGAATCAGTGAGAAGCTCTCTAGAAGCAAACAGGAATACTTAGAAAGCATTCAACAAAGATGGAAGGAAATGGTCAACAACTCACGAAGTTTTTTGTTGGAGTTCGTCTAAGAGGGCAGTATACGAAGACGCCTCCATAGTAGGATCTAACCTAAATTATTCCACTAAACCTTCCTCTTCGCTTTCTTCTACGTGAAGGCGAAAGGGACATATATCACTTTTTATACAGAGACCTTTTATTTGGCCTTCTATTTTACGTTGTGAGTTAGCTACGAGGGTGTATACCCTGGTACAAAAGAGCGGAATGTTTGGCACAACCCCAATTTGGAACTATAATAGGAAAATATTCACATTTCATCATAACAATACATATTAACCAGCAAGTTCATATTGTACGTCTTTGTCTGCTTGACATTGAGTGCCTTGTTTCACTGTATCCATGTGTTTTCTTTTTTTGACATCTTTTGGTAGCTTCCTTGAAAAGAACTGATGAAAGGGATCCAAACCTGGGGACACCGTTCTTAGCCGAAACCAGTACGCATAAAAGCTCTCGTAGCTTTTGCTTTTCTTTATTTATAGGTCCTTATATTATTTCATGTTGAAGGCGAACCTGATTTTTACCTTTCATTTGCAATTATTATATTAGGGCCCAAGAATAAATGCGGCACAATTGAGAATCGAAAAGTTTAGAAAAAAAAGAAGTTAGTTCTTTTTAACAAACTTATTTTGAGGCTTCTTTGAGAACCGCTGACGGGGGCACCAGGGAAGCTGCACTACCGGTATAGTTCTTAACCCCGGAACCTGATAGTGTTCAAAAACTCAGAAAAATTCTAAGATTTTTTTGTATATGTCTAGCATTTTATCTAACATCAAAACATTCTTGTTATGTGCCATCCTGTCCCTCCCTCCCCACTCCCCGTCTTAGTTCCAGAATGTACAAATCTTATGCTTACTTTGTTGCCAAATTTAAGATTGTCACTTGCCATAGTGAAAACGTTTGCAATAAGAGCTCCTGTAAAAACCGTTCGAAGTTTTTTTTTGACGTAATCTAAACGATTTGCAAACCTCTTTCATTTAAAAGCGAAGAAAACATCTCAGCGCTTTCTTTATTGATAGCTTCTTTTAGTGGACATTGTGCTTCACCTTCTGTACTGCAGGCATCTAAGAGTATCACATCGAATTTTTCCCCTAGAAGCAAAGGCAATTTTTCGTGTGACTTGAAATCGGCATGAACCCAACGAGACCTTGTAAGTTAGCATTTTTGATATAATCCATAGCATCTCCTACGATCAAATGCTGTCGTTGGTCTAGCTTCAAATCAAACCATTTTCTTGAGATCATTGCTATTTGAGGATCCAACTCAACGACAGTGATGTCCATCTGGAAGATCTTATGATAAATTGGGGGATGACAGTAGAATTTCTAGCAAACCTTAGGAAAGTGATGGTGCAAATAGGAATTGACATAACCAGCTCCCAGTCCTAATGATAAAACTCGTGCGTTAACATCTCTTTGCAAAGGTACGCTTCCACTTAGAAACATCTCTTCTGAAGCAGACACTGGGTAAAAATAGAGAAAACCAAGAAGAAACTAGGAACTGGAATACTTGACGCTACTTCAGTTATTTCTCTGAAACTGAGAAACCTTTGATTTTGCTAGAATGCTGCGTAAAGATGATGTTCAAAATTCCGACCCAAGAGGCATCTCTTTCATTTTTCGTAGATGAAAAAGCACGAAAGTTTCGCCTTGACCGTAATCAATACGGGACGTCGATTCGTCCGTTTCAAAACAACATGGTCTGGGCGAGAGTTCATTTGGTTTTTCAGGTCAAGAATAAATCTTTTGAACTGTCGATCGAACAGTAGTCCACCGAAGATATACCAATCAGTATCCACATAAAAAGTCCAGGTACCAATTGCCTGGACCTGCCAATAATGCTCCGCGATTTTGACTCGTGTGCAGTGCACCTACCCTACCGTTAGGTCATGAGTTTTTCACTTTCGTCACCCTCTTATTTTTTATGAAAGATTGACAACTTTATTTGAGACTTATTTAAAATGCTAACGCTTCACAAATTCTTACCTATCATTATAAATGTATATCTGCTAAAGTGATGACCTCCATGATCTACTTCCCACTTGGTTGTGTCCATTTGATTGAGAGTTAACTCTGAAACTACATCTATTTTACTTGAGATTGGCAGAGATAGGCAATTGTGAGCGGTCAGCGCTAATTGTGGATGACCCTTTTGCACCCCTACAGTTTGCTACCACAGACCACAAGTGAATAGGGGATAAAAATTCGCTTGTCTTGGTGCAAGTTACAAAGAAGAAGAAAATCACAAAAGTGCTTTGGCAAGCATAACAACGCCTATTTCAATTTCAAAAAAGTTCGGTCACGGTAGCATACGATATCGGTTGCAAACAATTTTTGAACACTCACCGTCTGGCCATTTCAAATACATGCTTGAGTACTCTAATGTTCCTGTCACAATCTCGCGACGTACTCGCAGTCTAATGAAGATCATTCCAATGTTTTGCTAGAGACGCAAGTCCAAGCCGTAAATGCTTACTGTGTAGTGATCACATCTCTTATGTCCACATACATTCCATCGTGCAAGCGAATTGATTTTTCTCTGAAAAAAAAAGCATAAAAGTCTAGTAGTGGTTTTCGGGGGAGGGGGGGGGGGTGTTGCAAAGAGACGAGTGAAATTCTTTTTTGGGGGAAATCCAAAGAGCAACGAATGACAGTCCTTTGATATCAGCGAAAAGCGTTGATTCACTATTTCATTTAGAAGGAATTCGCAATTGACTCAGGCACTAGACATAACAAAATGCACCTCAAAATGATATGGATCATTCCTTCACATTTGTCAAGGCAATCATTTCATTGCCATGAAGAATTCGAAATTATCGCACAGATAAACTCCCCGGCAAATTATTGATACTTCGTGTATTCGGATGATCTTTTAAATAGACTGGTGGTTACAAAGAATACGAGAGGATTTATGATGCAGTTGTGACGTGGGAGTGTGAGAAGTGCTGCTGCTTGATGTCCTTTGGAGTGTGGGATATCCGAAGATAGCGAGTCGGCATCGGATTCGTAAGGTTCAAAATTGATGTTTTTTCGTTTTAGTTCGCTTTCTGTCAGCGGTCGTTCGTGGTCCAATCGTTGAAATGTATCAACGGCATCTTCTAAAGTCTGTCGGAAATCGCTACATTTGGTCACGTATTGTTCTAGTATTTGATTTTTTGCGGGTCCACAAGTATCAGTTTTTGCCTTCATTCCATAAGTGGTTAATGTGGCTATATGTGCGAAAGAGTGAATCACGAGTGGACGTGTGACCTTCATGAATATTGAGTAGTTCATCATCACTGAGAGTCTGAAGTTGAGAAAGTTCTATACGCTCACGGTTTACCTCTTCTATGGCTCTAAGGGAGTTGTCGTTTTGCGATGCCGATTTGTTGGCGTAGAGTGCTGGACATCTCGAATTATTGTCGTCTTTGATCGTAGAGCTTCTTGATGTGCGGTTCTTGGTTAGTCCGTGGTCGCCATTTTGCGAGACGAGTGGAATTCTTTATTGACGGAAATCAAAGACAACAAATGACAGTCCTTTTATATCAGCGAAAAACGTTGATTCACTATTTCATTTAGGAAAAATTCGCAATTGACTCAGGCAATTGACTTGACCCGTCCGTTTTGCGGGATATGAGTTGTTGCTTCTATCGAAGACAGTTCATGGTTGGAAGAGAGAACATAGAAAAAGAGCAGTGAGAGTGCACCAGGAAAGAGGAGTCACGTGAGTCCGCAATTTCACGAATAGAGCTGACGGCCTAGATATTTCTAACAGCGCCGTTGAGAGAATTCATTGAGGAAAAAACCACGAAACAACAAAAAAATTTTCTATGCGAACAGGAGATGTTGATTTTTGTTTATTCTTCTATTTGAGAAAAAAATCTTTTTTATTCGAGAATTCTGATTCATATACGTAGATTTTCAGTCGAGAGCGGATATCTATTTGAAACGAAAGGAATTTGCGACACGCATACAGAAGCAGACGGTTCACTTTTTGATATTCTCGGAAAAGATCTAATCCAATTAATACAAAGAATAATGTAAAATACCGTTTAAGGAAACTCTCCGGCAAACTACTGATACTTCTTTACTGAGGATGACCTTTTGTATGGAACGTGAAAGAGATTAGATGGGGCAAGGCACAATAGGCAATAAGTAAGGGAAAACTGAATTTTGCTACTAATTTGGATGTCCAGCTCCTCGTTTTCTACATGTCTTGTCTTTCGATCTGTCTCTGCATCGTGTTCTTTGTAGTTGTTGATCAGCAACGTAATTGGGAGTCCCTTGGAGTAGAGAGGAGGAGCTTGCTTGCGAGTGAAGTAAAGTATAAGAGTGTTTAGTTTCTTCCCTTCCGGTCCAAAATGCTTCCTGAACTTCTCCGCTGTTATATGCTGTTGTATTTGTCTCACTGCTATGGCAGATCGTGTCCGTCTTGGCTTCAAGTGTACAAGAGTAGCATCCTTGAATTGTTGATGATGCTCTTATTTTTCCATTGCGTGGAAAGTTGTGAGTTTGGAAATATTCATAATCACTTGAACTTTGACTGCGGAGCAGTCGACATAGGGGTGTGCTTAAATAATCAGCTGGTTACAGGTTTTGTGACAAAGGAAAATATGTTCTGCTGCTCTGAGTCGACGTGTCCCCTGCTAGGAGTTGATGTACCTGGTCTTTGATGTTTCTTAGGAGCAACTACAAGTATTCGCTGAAAGACGGGTATGGATTATATGGCATCTTCAAGCGATGAGCACTGAATTCATATTCGACTGCTAGCAATCAATCAGAAGTATAACCCTGAGTTGATTTACTTGTGCTTGCATTACTCCATTTGCTATCTTCAAGGAATGTTGGGGGAAGTACGTGCAGTTGTGGGGTTTCATAATAATTGATACTGAAAGTTTGATGGGATCAATAGCTATATCTTCCCTAGCTGCAGAATGACACGATATATTTAGATCTTTTCTTTCACTTGTAGTGTCTTCGGCTGATATGGTAAGCTTCAAAATGAAGCTTTGAATGTCATACAAACAGTCTCAGATTTGCGAAATATCTGTAAAAGAAACAGGAAGGTGTGCTGATTGTAAGAAAAAAAGACAGTCATAGTCAGAAAACACAGTCAGTCAAGAAATGTCAAAAAACAGTCAAATAGCATTTGTTTATAGCCAGTGATGTCTACTAGGCTGATCGGTAAAAAATGGGACACCTAGAGACTAAATGTAGATTTCTCAAAAAAGAAAGGTGATTAAACTTCCCCATTTTGATAGCTGTTAGAATAAATTATTCTCTTCCAGAAAATACCTATATAAGGTCATTTGCATACCTAATAATTTTTATAGTGGCTGAAATGCAAAGTTAGTCACTTTGAGAAATTATAAACTTCGGGCAGTATCTGCGCTGTGAAACATGCGAAATCATCCAAAGTACTACTGCTGCAATGCGTGAAGGTACAGTCACCAGACCTATGATGGATTGCTGGCCTCAACTTTCAAATTCAGGAGATATGGCCATTAGCAGCTTTGAAAATAAAAATATGTGCTATTCAATTCTTTGCAGGCGAACGCATGTTTTGTAGGTACCATCTGAAAGAGCTTTTTACACTCTATTCATCCATATGCAGCTTTGGAAAATACAGATTGAAACTTAATTTATTGGTTTTTATTGCGCCAAAAAATCGCGATTTTTCAGCTATTAGGTTGTCCCGAAAGTTTTGTCCGTTTTTTCAACCTATCATAAAAACACGTGGAGAAAAGATAGAGAAACGCTCTAAGCACTACCTGACGCAACTTTTCCTCCTCTTTTTAACTGTCATGCTCCCATGCCGATTACTCTTTTGCTTACTGAGATAGGGGCCAAAATTTCGAACCCGTGGTTTTTACTATGTCCAAGTTTGACAATTTTTCACAATCTTCATTTTCAACTTTTGGAAGTCCTTTGATAGCGCTTAGGTAGAGTAAACAAAGGGCAATGCAATGCAATTTTTTGGCTTGTCCAGCTGGCATTTCAGTATTTTTTAAGATAATTTTTCCAAAAGTCTTCACTATTGGGAAGTCCCAAAATACAGAAACGCCTCAAACACTAACAAATCATCGGATTTTGAAGCTTTCAAAAAACAATTACGATTATTCACTATTTTTACAAAGCAACTGAGCGTTTACCGCTTCGAAATATAAGATTTCGCATTTTACGGTACATGCTGGGGCGGGGTCAAATTCAACAATTATGAAAAATTTTATCGCTAAAGACCCCACAAATTGGATGAAAAATACACTCACTGAAAAGAGGAGAAAAAGCTGCATCGAATGACACCTTAGTTGTGCGCCGTTTTATGTTCTATGGTTCATGGCATCACCAAAAGTGGAATTTGATAGCATCAGAAAAATAATTTCAAAAAATTTTCAAGGCTAGCTATAGATGCCGCAAAATTGCATTGCATTGCCCTTTGTTTACTCTATCTGAGCGCTATCAAAGGACTTCCAAAAGTTGAAAATGAAGATTGTGAAAAATTGCCAAACTTGGACATAGTAAAAACCACGGGTTCGGAATTTTGGCCCTTATCTCAGTAAGCAAAAGAGTAATCGGCATGGGAGCATGACATTCAAAAAGAGGAGGAAAAGGTGCGTCGAGCAGTGCTTAAAGCGTTTCTCTATCTTCTCTCCACGTGTTTTTATGATAGGTTGAAAAAACGGACAAAACTTTCGGGACAACCTAATATTTCGCTTTTTTTACCCAGAAGTAGAAAGAAATCCTGTATGTTTAATATACTGTTTGAAAGAGCATGAAGAGCTCTTTCGAATGGTATATCAATTGCTCTATAACATCACGGTATGGCAGCGCAAGAATGAGCGATGTCCAAAAAACCCTGTTCGAGTTCTTCAGGGCGCCACGCGTAGGGTTGTAGGAGAGGAGCGTTGACGCTTTGCCAGAATAATAGGCGAAGGTCGCTTATATAAGCGACGTTTACGTTGCAGCCTGCTTGTTGATCGGAACAAAAAATTCCAAAATCTAATAAAAATCAAGTTGCCCCATTTTTTACCTTTCACCCTGATATAAACAAACTGTCTGAATGGTTCCCTTTGATTCAACTGGCTTGGCGGCTGGAAGGCGGGGCTTCGTGAACTAATTAAGGCTAGGTAATGATCGGAGAGCACGAGCGCGGAAGAGATGCAGACTGCGTTGCGGACGCGAGCGGCCTTAATTAGGTCACAAAGCCCCTGCTTCCAGCCGCCAAGCCAGTTGAATTAAAAGCTTGTGGGCTTTGCCAAAGAGCTGTTCCACTCTGTTTTAGATCATGTCGTCGCATGCTTCTTTCTTGCAGTTCTCAGCTAGATAATATCTATGTGAAAATCGGACCAGGAATTGATAGTCGCGAGTAAATAGCAATGTACAGTAGTTTGTAGCAATACTAAGTATAGTACAGTAATACTAGTGTAACAAAAGATCACAGATTCGCGCCAAGGGCGCCAGCCTGTGCTGAGGAAAAATAACAGAGCAACAAAGAAGAGAAAACAGAGCAGCAACTGACAGCCCTGTATGCGAGCATTCCAGCAGGAATTTGCGGAACTCGTAGCAATGCATGTGATTCACATTCTGATATTTTGCGAAGATTATCGTTCGTCCTGTGACTAATTGTAAGATTCGAAACCGCTGCCTACATAGTTAGTTTAGTTAGTTAGTTAGTTTCTATTAGTATTTTCTATTTCTATTTTTATTTCTATTTCCATTGGTTTCTACCTGTGGCCTATGTAGTTTGCTACTTGAAAACAGGAAAGCACAAGGTTAAGTTTGCTTAGATCATGTGTGCAAGGCGGCTTCTCTCTCTTAATCACAGAACAAATAATAATTCACTGCTGCAAAGAATAGTAGGAAATATCATCATCCTGCAGATAAAGAAAGAATCACCAGAGGTAGGAAAAACCATTACATAAAGAAGGAACCGCTAAAGGATACCACAAAAGGAATTCTTGTAGATAGAGAAAAAATCGCTAACAGATACTATGAAGAAAAAATCATTGTGTGGGTAAATATCTACCTGTTTTTAGAACATTTTTTGCCATTACGAGAACGTTTGTCAAGAAAACTCACAAAATTCTTGGATTTCCGTAACCCTTTATAATCATCTGCGATAGTTCCGAACGATTGAAGGTTCTTCTTAGGCTATTTATAGCATCATCGGCAACAGATGCTTTGTGATGATCTCGCCTCAGGTAAACGACTGCAGATGCCTAAAGTTCAAATTTGGATAAAGACATATTTATGGCGTTTACTGACTAATAAAGCAACAAGCACATAGAATCGCCACCGAATTGCATGATGCATGGGATGAGTAATGGAAAAAGATTACCGAAATTACAGAACTCGATAGGTAATACGGGATGAAACTTGCAAAAACAGGGCTACAAATCCTAACTCACTGGTAGCTATTTCTGACATAAAAAGAGACTCGAGTACCTTGTGCACATCGTATTAACTAGTTCACACTTTTGCACTAATGCGTTACAAAGGCACTGGTTATTTAAATAGGGTCGATGAGATTCTAATGCCCAATGGTAGCGGGGTCCTCAACTATACAGGGTGTCCCAAAAAAATGTTAACACTGTTTGATCGTTAATAATCCCCTTGCTTTCAAGTCTTTCGCCGAGCTTTAGGTACCATTCTGTAGAGCGAGGTTCAACTTAGATTTACAGTGTAGAGCGAATCATCTAACGCTCCTCGTTACTGTAGAATTACGGTAGGAAATTCCAGCATGTGGAACCGTCATGAAATATGCCCTCTGACAAATTTTTTTTCAAAAAATCTGAAAAATTGTGTACTAGGGTTTTCGCGCACGCTGATTTTACTACACAACTTTTTGCGAGTGTTTTCAGCTTTTTTGACGGCGTAATCACATTTTTGACACATGCTGGGAAGTCAGTTATTACCTTTACCGAGGATAACTTTAAAAAGAAGTGTCATAATGAAATGAGAGTTTCATATCCGAAATCAGCGGCTTTCATTACCATTGTACAAGAGATTTTGGCTTGTTTGGCTCTGTTTTAAAGCAGAAAATGGGCTTTAGTGGCCTAAAATCCTTGTCAAAATTCCTACCGTAATTCTACAGTAACGAGGAGAGCTAGATGATTCATTTGATACTGTAAATCTAAGTTTATCCTCGCTCTACAAAATGGTACCTGAAGCTCGGTGAAAGACTTGAAAGCAAGGGAGTTATTAACAATCAAACAGTGTTAACATTTTTTTGGGACACCCTGTATAACTGTACAACTCGCGTTGCCAAAGCTTGCTTCCAAAGCGAAAAAAATCGCTTCGGAAGAAGAATTCGACCGCATTTGCCCCACCCCATTTTGTGAGCGGTACATTCGTTCCGCCCATGATTTTCCCGTTTCGTCGAGGAGAAGTTCCATCGATGAGCATACTGAGCAGCGGTTGTGCTTGCCACGTCAAAACGCGTCCTGCTTACAATCGAAGGGGACTCTCCATTGTACTCGTTCGTATTTGCCAAAAAAAGCCCTTCAAACATAGGATTTTTCGGAATTTTCGTGGTAATCAAACTAGATCGGAAATCGGGACATTGAGAAGAGATAGGACTGAGAAAAATCTGGGGTTTGGTCAGAACCATAATCCTAACTAAATTTTCACAAAACGAGGTAATCGGCAAGTTTACATCGAAAGCATGAGGTAATTAACCGAAATCCATACCTGAACAATTTTTCGTTTGATTGTAAAACTTGCAAAGCGATGCCACTAAAGAAGATCGAACATCCGATTATCTCATGCTTGACCGCCTTCAATAAGGTTGTTCCGAAAGTTCTTGCGCACGATTTTCAAAAATTCATAACTCTTTACTCAACGAATTTGTATGATCAAAATTTTGCTCAAGAGAAGAACTCATGCTTTTTGCATCTTTACCTGAATTGTTCGTTAATGTGTACAAATGAAGGAGATAGAAGCTCAAAACCGAAATCACTCAAAATTTGAATTTTTCTGTAGGGTCATAAAAAATTGGAAACTTGCAACAAAAATCGGAGCAGCCGGCATGTAGGCTCTTTCACCAGCCCTTTCCAACAGTGCAAAGTTTGCGTTGATTGAGCGTCTCTACGAAAAGTTATGATTTCCCTGAAAAATGCCAAAATAGATCAAATTCGCCCTTTTGTATTGATTGCTCGAAAATCGTAACTTTTCATAGAGACGCTCAATCGGCGCAAACTTTGCACTGTTGTAAAGGGCTGGTGAAAGAACCTCCATGCCGGTTGCTCCGACTTTTGTTGCAAGCCTCCGATTTTTTATGACCCTACACGAAAAATTCAAATTTTGAGTGATTTCGGTTTTGAGCTTCTATCTCTTTTATTTGTATACATTAACGAACAGCTTAGGTGCAGATGCAAAGAGTATGAGTTCTTCTCTTAAAGGCAGCGTCCAGGCAGATTCGAGCTCGACGACCACGCCCACTTCCCTCGGACGGCCAACCCCTTATGAACGAAATTTCCTCAGCCTTGACGTGTTTTCATATGACCAACACAGTCGAACTTACAGCGTTTACCTGTTAATACTTGCTTTCGACAAGGATAACATCAGAAGCACTCGTCCGGGTTTCCCAAAATAGCCCCAAAAGGTGATTTTCTGAGAAATTCACGCTTTTTGACTTCCATATTCGGAATCAGCGCCATGGAATGGCCTGGATGACATAAAAATATAGAAGTCGAGAATCTCCCTGGACGCTGCCTTTAAGTAAAATTTTGATCGTACAAATTCGTTGAGAATTCAAAGAGTTATGAATTTTTGAAAATAGTGCGCAAAAACTTTCGGAACGACCTAATACTTTACCAAATACAGTTCGGTCTCTACCCTGGCAGTATTCCATAAACTTATCCAAACAATAATCAAGCAAGCTTCTAAGTTTCAGAATAATCTTCCTCTCTCCTCTTGATGTGTGAAACCATGTTTTTCACTATTTTTCAATGAAAGAGTGGTCAGGGGTACTTTTTTAATGTGAACATTAGATGGTGGTTACGCGTCTGCGTCTCATAGAACGAAATGCTGTTTTCATTACTCTTACTGACAACTGTTTAGTTTGAATAAAAATGGAACAATCACGGTAGTCTGTTAATTATTTGCCTGTTTCATGATTTCGTATGATCGATTGAACTGAAAGTTCGGCAGAAGATGATCATGGTAACCATCATGTAACCATGATTGAACAACAACACATTTTATACGGTTTTGACCAGATTACTAACACTCCTTGGAATCGAGGGTTTGCGTAGACTATGCCTTCAAACAATTTACCATTTCATAGATGAAGAACATGTTCATGTAAGACAGCGTGTGCCAGCGGTATTGTAACCTCAAAATGTGTACATACCCTTTGATTTAACTGGCTTGGCGGCTGGGAGGCGAGGCTTCGTGACCTAATTAAGGCTAGATAGCTAGATAATGACCAGAGAGCACGCGCGCGACAGAGATGCAGACTGCGTCACGGGCGCGAGCGGTCTTGATTAGGTCACAAAGCCCCGCCTTCCAACCGCCAAACCAGTTGCATCAAAGGTTACTAGATATTCACTACGAAATTTTCTGAACTTCTAAGGATACTTTTCTGCCTTTGTTCAAAATACTATTTGCTGAAAGAGTAAGGCCAAACGGTCGACTTTCTGCAATCCTCTCTGCTGCTTTGAGGCAGTACACAAGCAGATCTCAGTGTCTGGACTTTTTATAAGGAAATAATTGAAGCTTTAAGTAAGTCCGCCCAAGTGATACCTCAAATAATTCATTTGTAGCCGAGTTATTCTACTTTAGGCTTTCGCCCACATCGTAGTCCTCCTAGGAGGACCAATCAGAGTTCTCAATTACGATAGAAAAGAATGCCTGGGCGAGACTATGGTAAATTTGTTAGCCACGAAAGCCTCGTAAATAAATCAGCATAGACTATATTAATCAGCATATTCACATAAATATGCCTGGACACTACCTTTGAGAGGCGCATTCTTCACTGTTTAGTAACAAACTTATGGGAACAAAATATTTGCTTAGGAAAGAAACGCAAATTTCCCTGACTGCAGTCAATGTGAGAAAACTAAAGCAATTGTTCGTAGTTACATGCGTCGGCTACGAAGAAAAATCGACAGGTATACGCTCTCTAATCTTACTATCTGATCAAACATGAACAACTTTCTAGCGAAAAAAGCACTGGGAATTTTTTTGCCTTGGCTCTCCATTAAAAGCGTTGTGTTATGGTGTTTTGGTGATGCAAGAGCTGGATGACTCATTTTATAGGTACGTATTTTTAAATTAAACAGTTCGATATATTTTGCCTATAATTACATGTCCACTTTGCACGGCTTAGTACCCGATAGCGTGACAGTGTCATAATCGCAAGTTTTCGATCTTTTTAGGAGCTTATACGCTCGTTCATGCCAGATAGAGATTAAACACAGCAGTTTGATTTTGTACTATTTTCTTGATAGCGAATGCAAAAAAATCGCTTGCTGTACCCTTTGATTCAACTGGGTTGTTGGCTGGTACGCGACCGCTCGCACCCGCGACGCAGTCTGCGTCTCTCGCGCGCGAGTGCTCTCTGATCTCTCCCCAGCCTAAATTAAGCCTCGAAGCCCCGCCTCCCAGCCGCTAATTCCGTTGAATCACAGGGAATATAGAAGATGCATATATTGGTTTGATGGCAGTACTTGAAAATTTCGCATTTTTTTGATTTATGTAAGTTTTTTCGGGTGAGCTCCTCATCTCTTAATTGTAATGTTTTGAAAGTTTGCAAAAGCGATGCATTTGTCGAGATTGTGAAATTATTAGAATTTTTGCAGAAAAAAATGGAGTGAACCGGGGTTTTCTACGAAAAGCAGCTTTTCTCATTCGCAAACTTGATTACATGTTTTACATGCGAATGGAATTTTGTACATTTTCTAGTCTTCCATATCTGCCATAAATTGATCAATTAATGGTGACCATCTTACCCCGTATCCTTATATGTGGATATAAAGCTAACGAGTACTAATTTGCAGGTGAAACGCACAAAACATGCATTCTGGGTCTAGGGCTCGGCACGAGCTGGCATCAGAGAAATTTTACGACGAAGTCCCTTTTGATCTTGAAAATGTGTGCGGAGTCCCCTTTGACCTGTTTTGCATTTGCTTAGGGCGCTCTTTGTAATTCAAGCAGGTTGAGAGCAGAGCAGACTGAGAAATTTTCAAATAATAAAACGCCGAAAGGAAAACATTATCAAACCGTTTTTTCTTTGTATGTAACCATTTAGAGTGTAGATACAATTTATACAGAAAAAGGATGAAAACTTATGTGAGCAAAGGATCGGTGCCAGCTAATTCAGAAAAGAGTTCAGCACAGCTTTATTCACGTAAGTTTCCATAAATTTTTGGGTCATAGCCCAGGTGCCGCAACGCGCAAAAACGCACCAAATTTGGTGTCATATGACTGCGTTTTGTCTTTAAACAAGGCTTTTGTTTCTTGCAGAATTAATTCCTGCGCTGTGTTAGCACGGGTATGTCGGCGGCACACCGATAGCATTCCGCTTTCATGCGCTTGGCATACTGGCGGCATGCTAATGAACAGAGGTATAAAGAGTTAGCACGCAGGCAGCATGCAGGCGACACGAATCTGACATTCTAGCAAAAAATCTAACCCGCAAAAACGTATCCCCTTTGCTTTTTGCCCCAAAAACGGTATCAAGCTTGACCCGGCGGCGAGCCCTATCTGGGTCTCATCGTTCATTCCGCTCAAATTTCCTAGATTAAGCCGTTAGTTGATCTTTGAAGCGCAGAGCACGACACAAGAAAAAACGCTTAGAGAGGGCATTAATTGCATCTTCATGGATAAAGACATTTCTACGCGCGGTGTGCATCTTGTGTGCACCATATACTATTGACTTGGATAGGAAAGAATGCCACTTTTTTGAGTTTTTTTTAGCTAAACTAGACATTTTTTTAGAAACTAATGCATTTGCAAGGCCAACATAGTCAGGCTTGTACACAACTGCACAACAAGGTAGCTGGAATCTTTTGCTATCTCAATACGAACAATATCAGAAAAATATGCGAAAAAAGTACGAAAGATTCAAAATGACTCACTCTTGCACATGATGTCGGACGCGAATTTGTCAAGATCCGTAGCAAAACACCTTCGACGAAGACCATTCAGGATGGCACTCATCAATATGCGCGTGCTGCCGGCTGCCCACAGAGTATGAGAGGAGTGCAATTGATTTCGATTTTGTTTTTCTATCGATGGCTTTTCTCAGCGAACTCGTGGTAGCTTCCTCAAGAGCTTTTGATCAAATAGTCGTAGCCGAGCTGTAACATATGATGAGAAAATGAATGGCTGACGCAAATGATGGTTTTTTAGCAAAGCGAATCGATCGCTACATGTAGATGGAAATTATGATAGGTGCAGTATGAATAATGTTGTACTTGCTGAAAAAAACTATGTTTAGAGTTGTGCTTAATAAAGCCTGCACTTTCGAGAAAGAAATTTTTTTTCAAAATTTGACGGTTCCAGAAGTGCTGCATGGCTATTTGTTAACGAAACAGAATGAAGCGTTATGGTTCCTGAAAATCACTGATAATCTATTATCCATTCTAAGATTCGGGAACGCTTTGCGCAACTCGTCTAACAAGCTCAAACATGTTTCTCTTTCAACGTCAGGTAATAAATTATCCAAAAAAATGTTCAGACACAAGTTATAACTTGTCAAACACAGGCGTGTGACTAACAAGTTATTACTTGTGTAAAAAAAACAGTTCGACCTTCTTGGTCACAGAATGAATGATAGCTTCATTTGTAGCTTTTACCGCAGATAAGATAAATTGCTCCTCCCCCCCCCCCCATCAAAACTCAGAAAATCAACTAAGAATACAAGATGCACTAGATATCTAACCTTATGAGTACACAGCTTCAAGAAGGAGGAAATGTCAATTCTAACGCTCTGCTGCCGCGAATCAATGAGGCAAATTCTGGACTTATGAGGTGTGTCTGTGGTTACGAAGCGCGTTCGATACAAACTGAGTCATTCCTAAACGATTAAACGACGTATAGTTGAAAGTAAATAATGGATGGAGTGTTAACGTTGTCACTTTATTGTCTAAGAAGAGTTAGACATTGTTCCGGACTGTGATTTATAGCGGCAGTGGGAAAATCTTCTGCGTTGGTCATAGGGCACTTGATTAATTCTTTAAGCCGTTTTAGCATATTACAATACTAGCTGGCTTACCCGGCTCCGCCGTATGTTTCGAATAGAAAATTCCATTTCTTAACCGATCAGGACCAACTTGGCACACATACACTTCGGGCCCCGGCGGGTGTCACAGTCCACTTTTCGTTATCGATCGATGCCGATTTTATCGATTTTTTACAAAATTTGAGCTAGGGGACTGGAATTTGGCAGAGGGGTGTAATCGAGCATGCTGATCACCCCCCTGTGCCAACTCCCAGCCCCGTAGTTCAAATTTTGCAAAAAATCGATAAAATTGATATCGATCGATAACGAAAAGTAGTCTATGACACCCGCCGGGGCCCGAAGTGTATGTGTGCCAAGTTTGTTCCGGATCGGTTCAGAAATGGAATTTTCTATTCGGAACATACGTACACACATACAGACAGACAGACATACAGACATACAGACAAACAGACCTTCAGCTTTATACAGGGCGTCCCAAAAAAATGTATCAAACGTTTGATCGTTAATATCTCTCTTCTGAAGAAGTCTTTTCTCTTGCTTCAGGTACCAATCTGTAGAGCTGGCTTCAACTTAGATTTGCATCATAGAACGAATCACTCACTTTTCTTCATTACTGTAGGATTACGGTAGAAACTTCAAAGAGGGTTTTAAGCAATGAAAGGCCATATTTTACCTCAGAAAGGACACAAAACAGCCTGAAAGGTTTTACGCTAAGCTAGTTAGAGTTGCTGATTATAACTGTAAAGTTCCCAACTTATTATGATGCTTCATTGAAGAGTTATGCCAGGTAAGAGGTAGCGGCCATTTTTCAATATTCCTAAAAAGTGAGGTTACACCGTTTAGAAAGCTTCGTAATCTTGTGAAAAGTTGAGTATTGAACTCAGCGTCCACAAAAGCCCTATTACACAAGTTTTCACAATTTTTTGAAAAATTTTGAAACGGCAGCTTTTCCACACATTGACACCATATGTTTCAAGTTTCTACCGTAATTCTACAGTAATGAAGAGAGATGGGCGATTCGTTCTATAATGCAAATCTAAATTGAAGCCAGCTCTAGAAAACGGTACCTGAAGCAAGGCAAAAGACTTCGTGGGAAGAGAGATATTAACGATCAAACGTTCGATACATTTTTTTGGGACACTCTGTATATAAGACTAGCGACCCTACGGGTCGCTAATAAGTGGGTGGGGGCAGATATATTGATATCCGCCATTAATTAACTAAAAATCCCAAGAAAGAGAATTTCCATCTTCCCAGCGACCTTTCCTGTGTTGTGATTAGTAGAAACAAAACATTATGCTCTTAGGAAAAGAAGCTACTACCAGTGACTATCCGCAAAGCATCTCTGCTGTTCCTCTTGCAGATACCTTCGCCCAGATACCACAGCTCTTAAGGAAGCTACCTCCAAGCACCTGTTTAGAACAGCTGATTCATCCCAAAACTCAGATTGATTTCCAGGAAAGTGCCATGTTAGAGGAAGCGTCAAGTTATGTCTTCCAGCAGCCGAAAACTCAGATATGTAGATAAAAACGAAGCAGCATTTTCTTCGATGATGTATTGCCAGTGAACGTGCTCATTTCTTAGAAATGGACTAAAGCTGGCCCAACGCCTTCTTTTGAAGGACAATCTTACCGAAACTGTCCTGTCGCATAAAACCCTAGGTCTTCCCTTCCCTCGAAACCAAGCTCCTTATGCTTCCGCTTTTAGGGGCAGAAGTATGGTTGAGAAGAAGGGGCCGTAATTTTTCGAGAGTTTCTTTATAATTGAATATTGACACCTAAAAATTGTTAACGCAAATATCTTGCCGCCTGAGCCCTGAGTCTTTTCTTCCCTCGAGACCAACCTCCCTGTTTTTGCTAGGGACAAAAGTGTGGTTTTAGCGAAGTTCAAGAGACCAAAATTTTCAGAGAAGATAATTTCTTGTCGCAAGACGCTCATGGGTCTGTCTTTCCCTCGAGACCATTTTTCTGCCTTCAGAGGCAGAAGTCCGGTTTTTGCAGATTAGAATGGCCACAAGTGAATTTCAAACAAGTTTCTGTGGAATAAACATTGACACCCAGAAATTTTCAGTGAAAGTATCTTGCTGGCTGAGCTTATGAGTCTCTTCCCCTAGAGATCAAGCTATCTGTGCTGTTTTGCTTTTAGGGGTAGAAGTATGGATTTTGCAGAGTAGAATGGCCAGGAACTTCAAAAGTTTCTGTATAATAAAACATCGACACCCACCTTCTGGCGAAAATATCTTGCTGCCTGAGGCCATAATTCTTTCTTCCCTCGAGACCAAGCTCCTTGTGCTTTTTTGCTTTTAGGGTCAGAAGTGTGGTTTTTGACTTTTGCGGTTTTTGCAAAGTCTGGGAATCGTACGTCTAGCGAAAATGTCCTGTCGGATGAAACTCATGGGCTGTCCTTCTCTAGAAATTAAATTCCCTGTGCTTTTCTGCTTTTAGGGGCAGAAGTACCGCTTTCGAAGTCTAGGGGGTCAAACACCTTGGCGGGAATGTTTGTCGCATAAAGCTCATGGTTCTGTCTTTTCCTCGAAACCAAGCTATCTGTGCTGTTTCGCTTTTAGAGGAAGAAGTGTGGTTTTTGCAAAGTAGAATGGCCAGAAGTAAATTTTAAGCAAGTTTTTGTATAATCATTGACACCCAGAAACTTCTGGCGAAAATATCTTGCTGCCTGAAGCCATGATTCTTTCTTCCCCCGAGACTACATTCCCTGTGCTTTTCTGCTTTTAGGGGCAGAAGTACTGGTTTTTGCGAAGTCTAGGGGTCAAACATCTTAGCGAAATGTCCTGTCGGATGAATCATGGGTCTGTCCTTCCCTCGAGAGCACTTTGTGCTTTTTTACTTTTAGAGGCAGAAGTATGGTTTTTGCAAAGTAGATAGGCCAGAAGTAAATTTTGAAGTTTCTGTGTGAATAAATATTGACACCCAGAAATTTTCAGCGAAAGTATCTTGCTGGCTGAGCTTGTGAGTCTTTTCCCCCCGGGACCAAAAAGGCCAGAATTATTCAAGCAAGTTCTGTTAATCACTGACACCCAGAAACTTCTGGCGAAAATATCTTGCTGCCTGAAGCCATGATTCTTTCTTCCCCCGAGACTAAATTCCCTGTGCTTTTCTGCTTTTAGGGGCAGAAGTACTGGGTTTTGCGAAGTCTAGAGGTCAAACATCTTAGCAAAACTGTCTTGTCAAATGAAGCTCATGGGTCTGTCTTTTCCTCGAGACTAGATTCCCTGTGTTTTTTTGCTTTTAGGGGCAGAAGTGCTGGTTTTTGCGAAGTCTAGGGGTCAAACATCTTGGCGAAATGTCCTGTCGGATGAAGCTCATGGGTCTGTCCTTCCCTCCAAAGCACTTTGTGCTTTTTTACTTTTAGAGGCAGAAGTATGGTTTTGCAAAGTAGAAGGACCAGAAGTAAATTTTAAGCAAGTTCTGTATAACCACTGACACCCGGGAAATTCTGGCGAAAATATCTTGCTGCCTAAAGCCATAATTCTTTCTTCCCTCAAGATCAAGCTCCCTGTCTTTTTTGCTTTTCGGACCAGAAGTGTGGTTTTTGCGAAGTTTGGAGGTCAAACGTTTTAGTGAAAATGTCCTATCGGGTGAAGCTCATAGGTCTGTCCATCCCCAGAGACCACTTTTCTGCTTTCAGAGGCAGAAGTATGGTTTTTTGCAGAGTGGAAGGGACAGATAAATTTCAAGGAAATTCATTAGATACTGACTCGTAGAAATGGGTGTATGACTTTATGAACGAGAGCATGTGCCAGCCGCCTGCTGGGTAACGTACGCGATGCGCTGAACGCTCCGCCTCCTTGTCGATTAGTTAGGAATGCGTTGCAACTATCAGAAAACTCTAATATTTCGTTTATGCTCCTTCAGTTAGCTGCAATTTGGATATAGAATAGAATTCAAAATTTCAATTGAATTGAAAATCAGCTTTCAGAATCATTTTTCATTATAAATTAGTTCGCAAGCTCTTCTTTGATGTGTTTCAGTTTTTGTTCCTAGTACGTTTGTCCAAATTGATTTTTCATAGCAACTGTGAGGAATTTGTTCCGAAAATGCTTGGAAAAGTGTTTCAATTCTCTTTATTCACATCTGTTACTATATCGAATATTCTTTATTGTACACTCTCAAGTTCAGTTCAAGAAGACGTCAGCTTATCGAGAAATAATATTATTATTGCTGAAATGACCAACACGATTATCTCTTTTATCAGAAAAATAAGTTTTAAAACTTTACTCATAGCTAAATACAGATTTCATTACGGCGAGAATTCAAAACAAGCATTTTAGGCAAATTTTGTTTTAAGCAAACTAATTTCAATAACTGGTATACATCATTACATTTGATAATCTGCTTCAATTTACAAAATTCTTTCATTGTGCTCCCATCAGTTTCAATGACCGAAAACATTCCAGAGATCAGTATCTCACAAATGGGCAAAAAATTAACAAGAAATCAAACGATTCTGTATATAATAAGCTTCTCCCCGGCTTGAAGCAAGCTTATGGCTTAATATCAAGGACTGATTTTAGTGGACTAGTGAACATGGCTATGAACCAGTGGCCAAGCTGCAGTGCAGGAAACTCGTCTATCTAGCGATAGGCGGGGCTAACGGTGCGTACCTTATTGACACATGCCTGCCTAAGCGCGCGCTATCGTTCATAAAGTCCGCCACCCGTAGAAATTCTTAGCGCGAATATCTTGCCGCCTCAGTTTGTAAGCCTTTTCTTCCCTCGAGACCAGGCTCTTTGTGCTTTTCTGATTTTAGGGGCAGAAGTAGGATTTTAAAAGGTAAAGACGG